AGGAGGAGGAGGAGAAAGGAGGAGGAGGAGGAGGAGAAGAGAAGAAGACGAAAGGAGGAGGAGGAGGAGAAGAAGAAGAGGAGGAAAGGAGTAGGAGCCGAGAAGAAGAAGACGAAAGGAGGAGGGGAAGAAGAAGAAGAAGAGGAAGGAGGAGGTGCAGGCGGCTTCACCCCGATGGCGCTAGCAGCTTCACGGGCAGCGACGATGTGGATTGGTTCTTGTCGGGGCAGCTCGACTGGGAGCGACAATGGCAGCTCGACGAGGAGGAGCAGCGACAACGACGGGCTTGGAGACGGCAGCTACGATGGGCGGGCTTCGTGACGGCAGCTTCGCAGTGGAGGATACCACGTTCGAATTCGATCCCGGCGTGGTAGGCCAGCATGGGGGGAAACGAGGTCGTTTCTTGCGGCTGATCGCAGCCGCCGGTCTTCGCAGGTCGGGTGCTGAGATCAGTCGCCAAAGAAGCCCTTCCCCCGGCCTCACTTGGGCCTGAGTTCGAAACAAAATGTTTCAGAGTGTTCATGGGGGCCAGGGATGTTCCGACTGGGCGAAAAAGGCCTGTCCCCCCCCCCCCCCCCCCCCCCCCCCCCCCCCCCCCCCCCCCCCCCCCCCCCCCCCCCCCCCCCCCCCCCCCCCGCGCGAAATTGCACTGAGCCCGCCCGGCGCCAAATTGGGGGACCCAACCGGCCGGACCGCCTGGGACCCCTGCCGGACGAAGGCTGGGCCGCCGGACGGCCCAGATTTTAACACAGGTCAAAAATCATTCTGGCTTATGACTGCCTCCACGACCCCAACAACTGTTCACCAGCAGGCAAAATTGAAAATTGAGCATTTAAAAAATGAGAGACACAGAGCTGCACAGTGGAGCTGGTGATGATCTGTCTGAGTGTTCTGTTCCCTGCCACAGTACTCTGTATGTTTCACATGCTTGTGCGGTAGTGTTGTTGCAATGGTGATTTAGACCACCAGTATCTACTGGTTGTTGCGGCCGTTAACACGGTAGCCGAATCGGTCTGCCCGTCGGGTCCATATTCATTCGACCCGGGGGGGAAGGGTTACGAAAAATGCGGTAGGTACTGGTGCTTTAAACCACCCCTCCATCCGACCTATGTTTACAAACCAAAAGCTGCATTTCTGCGAGCCTAAAATCCACACACTGGGTGCCGCCGTGAGGAAAAATAGCTGTGGTACCCTCCCCCACGGAACCTCTACCGGGCCTGGACGCTGTAGATTTTGGGCCGGTACTTGTAGACAAGTAAAATGAACAGTGCACGGGGCGTTGGAGTGGTGGTTTATAAGCAGGAAAACGTTGGCGTTTTGTTATCGTAGCCATGAGCAAGCGCCGAAAAACTTATGCCATAAATAACCATCTGTCTAAATTTACACAAGCAAACATAAGAAAAGAATTAATGCGCTTCAAGACAGCCCTCCAGACCCCTTCCAGATCCCCTTGGAGCTCAAACCAGTACTTTTGGAACTGGGTCTCATATCTACATCACCAAATCAACCATACCATGGGCCGGCATGAACAGATAACTGCTGTCGCAAGCTCATAACATTTTATGAAGAACTAGATTACCTGTTGCGGCTTTGCCCACGAAAATGGAAATGTAAAAGAAAACCGGATACCACGAGTTTGAGGGCCCCTCTCTCTCTGTGTGTGTGTGTGTGTGTGTGTGTGTGTGTGTGTGTGTGTGTGTGTGTTGTCATCTTGCTAAACACAACTCCACAAAAAAAACAATGTATGACTGTGCCAGACTGTTTCATAGGACCGTCATCGACTCGTCAGGAGGTTGAACCCAGAGGTGTGTCGTTCTCGTCATTGGGTATCGAAGGCTGAGTGGGTGTGCGGAGTGGGTTTTATGGTTGTGACAGAATAGCTTCTTGGACTTACAGCAATTGTTGTTAGGGGTTTGGACCAACAGTTTGCTAGGATTGCATGGTTGGTATGACGAGGAAAGTTGACCACTCTTCTCAGGGGGTATCGCTAGCTCTGGGCAATGTGGTGAGTCCTTATCCATCAGTCAAATGCATTTTGGGCAGACTGTCTGTCCAGGTTCAACCTCCTGAAAAGTCTGACGGAACAGTCTGGCGCAGTCATGTTTTTTTTGTGGACTTGTGTATAGCTAACATGGCAACACACACACACACACACACACACACACACACACACACACACACACACCACACACACCACACACACACACACACACACACACACACACACACACACACACACACACCTGTCTCTTATACACATCTAGATGTGTATAAGAGACAGGGGAGAGAGAGAGAGAGAGAGAGAGAGAGAGAGATTACACATTTAGACCCCTGATATTGCACCTTTTATGTTCTTTTCTGTTTCTCCTTCAGCGCACATGTAACCGTCCTCCGACATAAATTTGCTAATTTTGGTCCTCCAAATAACATGCTGTCCCCATCAACAGTCAACAGGGGGTTTCACTGTTTTCTGCAGTCTCTGCGGTGATCGTCGTGTTTTTTCTTTGGCTCCTCCTATTCTGGGAAGCAGCATTACGGTTCCTTTTCCATCGGCAAGTCAAAAATGAATGCAACTCGACAGCGCGCTTCCCCACGTTACGGCTCAGGGAATCCTGACAGCATTGATTGCTTCCCAGCAGGAAGGATTGACCGTCAGTCAAGCGTATGCTGGTGGTATTCGTCTCCTCCCCCTAGCAAATCTACCTGCCCCAAGAAACATACTTGGAAAGCAACCAACTATCTTAAAGCACCAGTACATGCCAGCTATCGGGCGCGGGCCCCTTTTGGAGGCTGTCCACCGCGGATTCATTTTAGCTACAGCGCTCAGCCTCCTAAATTTCCGGAGAGGATCAAAACAGGTTCTCCAGTTGCCTGGGGCCATGTACTGGTGGTTTGACGCTTAGCATTTCCTAAACCCTGAAACTGGACCTCCTACCCAACCCCCAGTCATAGGCCAATCTGCTGTCACACCATCCAATGATTGCTAAACCCCTAAACCCTCCTTCCCCGACTCAGACGGTGGCCAGGGCCATGCATGAGGTCTGTGAAGGAGGCGGTTGCACCGAGAGAGCTGCTGACATTGCATGTGATTCCCCCTGACGCCTCTACAGTGTCCAACAGAGCTTGGGAGTGTCGCCGATGAAGGACCCCAACTTTCCATCCCCAGAGTGTCCTTGACGAATTTGTTAAGGACCTCCTGTTTCTTGGTGGGGTCGCTCTTGATAATCTTGAGGGCTCATTGCCAATCCGAGTAGTCTTTTTTGCACGTAGACCATGTACGTGAGCCCCTTCCAGGCGTCAGCAACTGGCGTGGTTTGAAAATCTATGGCCGCTTTGCATCTTCGTTTCCCGATTGTCCAGTGTTAAGGGGCAAAGTCTGCTTTTTTTTCATTAAACGGAATTATCCAGACAAATCACTCCACCAACTAAGTACGGCCATGCACCACCACCACCCAAGGGGCGAAGTCTTTTTTTTTTTTTTTTTTTTTGAACAGCAAGCAGCCAACAGGAAGTCTAGACCAGCATAAAACACCCATGGACTGGCCCCTGGGTGGTGCGCAGGCAGTGTCTGTAATAGTACCATGAGTCAGCCCAGGGCAGTGTGCATGTGACCATCTTCTGAAGAAGGTCTCGGACCCATTTCTCAGTGTGAGTGTAGTCCCTAAATCCTTCGATCAACAACACCAGGTCTTCTGGGAGAGGGACACGCACCACCGAGTCCCAGAGAGTTGACACATTGGACCAAAGTTGCCTCGCCATGGGACAGCCAAGCAGGCAATGGACAAGGTCTCCCTCGGCCCCCTCTTTGCAAATGGCGCGGTTGGTGTTCAGGGCATGCCTGGCTGTCGCTGACCGACGCTTAGTCAGCCACTGATTAACCGGGAGAGCATAGTGAGAGATAAGCCACTGCATGCTGTGCGATTCGAGTGTTGAGATTTGTAAGGACCGCCCTCCAAGTTATCGTCGTCTGCGGGCCCAGTCCCACGGGTAGGTACCCCGCCCACCGATGATTCAGTATGTCCTTTGTCTGCACTGCTCGCCTGCGCAGTCGCTAGCTCTGGTGGATTAATCCAGGATATTGATCCAACGCCCGACCCGTGCTGTTGAAGGGGCCAGTTTCCAAGCCATTTTGCGGGGGGTCGAGTTCGAGGTCCTGGATTGGTATGGACGGGTTGTAGAGTCTATACTTTTTTCTGTTGTCAATGACCTGTACTTTGCGGAGGAGGGCGAGCTTCACCGTGGCTTGGGCCCTGACTGTTTTGTTCACTCTGGTGACGGTGTGGGCTGGCTGTTCTATGTCGTGTAGGGTCCCAAGACCCCATTCCCCTGCTGGACCTTTTTTGAGGAAGGGCAATGCCATGGTGGGGAGATCCTCCCAGTCCCACGTTGCCCACTCACCGGCTTTCCACGTTTCCGGACGTTGTAGGAGCGCTAGCCATTCTGGTGGAATAGATAATAGTAGCTGGTTGAGGTTGGGTTGCATGTTGTGGCACCCTTTAAGGGTTTCCCTCATTTCAGTGTGAGCTTTCCAGCAGCTGTGCTGATAATGCCAGAGGTGCTTCATTTGCCATACTCCCCTCTCCAACCAGGTGACTGAGCGGCCATCCTGCGCTGTTAAACCACCAGTACTTGTGCCCAGCTATCGGCCACGGCGCTTCCCCGTTAACGCGCTGCGGCATTCGGGCTTCGGCCTACCGGACCGCATTGGCTGGAGGCCACAGCCAAAAAGAAAACAAAAAAGAGTGACGGCTGTTCGGTAGGACTTGGTGCACAGGGTGCTGGGAGGCTTGGCTCCGATAGCTGGGCCAAGTACTGGTGGCTTAAAGTCCAGGGCTTGTCGGTCGGGGTCCTTAATAATCCATTGATTGCAGAAGAGGGGGGCTGGTGCAGTACTTCTTCTCTGGTCGATTGGTTGCCGTACTTTGGCAGGGAATATTTCCTTGCAAATGGAGGTACTTCCAGTATTCCGAGGTGTTAGACTGGTCCGGGGTCTGTGCCGGGTCCTGCTGTCGCCTGGGGCTGCCTCGCACGGCCCACAATTTGGACATCATCCGAAACAATTCCTGCATGTTTGCGGGGTTGGAGGCCTTGGGTAATTGCCTTATATTTCATGAAGGCCCAAGGTGGTCCATGGCAGGTTGTGTTGGGTGAGGATCTTAAACCACCAGTACATCCCAAAAAGCAGATTGAGCCTCGCCAAAAAACAGGGAGGCCATGTACCATCGATAAAATGAATTGGCGGTTCACGGCCTCCTATTTTTCAGGCGAGGCTCAATCTCCTTTTTCGGATGTACTGGTTGTTTAACAAGTCATTTAGTTTGAAGAGCTTTGGTCTGTGTGTGTAGTGGGGTCGATGATCCCCAGTCCGCCCTTTGCGTTTGATTGTGTCGCGTAGTGCTAGCTTGGGAATGGAGTTTTTCTTGGCCTGATTGTCCTGTTCATTTCAGATTTTTTTTTTTCTTTTTTCTTTTTTCTGTTTTGAATCTCAGACTCTTGGAATCGATTCCTGACCTGTGCTCTGTGTCTGGATGTGTTGGCCTCTTTATGGACGTGATTCAGCAGTTCTGCCGTTTTTCCAGGTTCATTCCATATCTGCCTGCCTGATGCTCTGTGGCCGAGAACGCGTTGGGTAACTACAGCGCAGTCACGTTTTCAGTTCTAAATCCACTTCAGGCATCCCTTGAATACAACACATCCCCACCCAACCCTAAAGCTGGGTTGGATACATTCACGGTTTTCCTCACTTTGGAGCAAGATTCGCGGAACCGTGACTGAAATGCATTTAAAACTGAAAACCTTGACTGCGCCCTAGTTGGAATCCGTATTCAAAATCATTTGGCACCTGTTGAGAAGTCCACGACCTTTCCGTGAGCTTTTCCTCGCTTGAGCTCCTGTGTTGCTGGTCGTTTGCGATTTGCGCTCAAGGAGACTGTGCTCCCTTCGGATCATCATTTGTGTCCAAATCGAGTGGACTGGTGGTGTTTATTGGGGCTCAGCTGGCAGCTGGTTCTCTCGCGGAACGCAAACCACCATGGCACGCGCTCTGGCAAGCGTGCGTGTTGTGCCGAGTGACGGCGTTCTTGGGTTGAGGGGCTTGAGGACTGCCACACAGGACTTGGTCTGCCACGAGTGGTGCTCCTGGCATCGCCAGCAGAGGAACGAGGGGCTACTACCTCTGCTCTCCTCCTGTCCACGTGTCTTTTCTTCCAAACGGCCGGACTGGCTAGTACGAAGAAGGCCGTCAACCATGCATCCCTCAGCAGCGCATGCTATTTCATGGAGCGGAGTTCAAAGGTCATCAGCAGCAAGTATATGCCTATGCCCCCCTGCTGAAAGAGTGGCATGCAGTGGAGGCGCGACTGGAGGCCAGCCACGGGTCCATTCGTTGTGGGGACCACCACAGCAGAGGAGGGATGTCAATGGTGGTGCGAACAGGTTTCCCACCAGACGTCAGGTCCCACCGCCGAAGGGCTGCGTCTGTGACGCCCTGCCGAAGGAAACCGGGATGAAGTCTTTGAGCGTCAGAGGGAAGGAGGAGGGATGCCAGGGTGGTGGTGGTGGTGGTCGTCGGCGACTGCTTCTGCTCAGTCGAGGGTCAGGTGCATCCTGGACAACCTCAGGCCCTTCTTCTTCGCGAACCGCGGAGAGTTGGGCAAATCACTGCTGTCGAACCCTCCTCACTGTTCGTGCTGCCTCGACTGCCACTGATGTGGCTGAAGCAGCGACTGAGTACGAGGCAGTGATCGGCCTTGAGACCCACGTACAGCTAGCCGCCAAGACCAAGGCCTTTTGTTCCTGTCCCTCGGAATTTGGAGCGGAGCCCAACTCCAATGTGTGCCCTGTGTGCATGGGTCTGCCGGGAACCTTGCCTGTGCTGAACGAGAAGGTTCTGGAGCTGGCAGTCCGTACCAGTCTGGCGTTGGGCTGCAACATTGCAAGGACTTCTAAATTTGATCGCAAGCAGTACTTCTACCCTGATCTTCCCAAGGGCTACCAGATCTCCCAGTTTGATGAGCCCCTGGCTACAGGTGGCCATGTGGACATCGATCTGCCAGTGGAATCCGGTGGTGGGCATTGCCGCGTGGGCATAACCCGCGCCCACGTGGAGGAAGACGCAGGGAAGATAGTTTATGCGGGAGCCGATCGACTGTCGGGATCGGAGTACACACAAGTTGACTTGAATCGTGCTGGTATCCCGGTGCTGGAAATTGTGTCAGAACCTGACATGAGGACAGGTCTTCAGGCTGCAGAGTATGCGTCTGAAGTGCAGAGAATTGTGCGCTACATCGGCGTCAGCAATGGTAATATGCAGGAGGGTTCCATGCGTTGCGACGTCAATGTTTCCGTCCGCCCCAAGGGGCGGGCTAAGCTAGGCACCAAGGTGGAGATCAAGAACATGAACTCGTTTTCTGCCATTCAGAAAGCCATCGACTTTGAAATCGTGCGTCAGGTGGAGCTCTTAAAGGAAGGGAAAGGGGACGACATATGTCAAGAGACGAGGTTATGGGACGAGGGAAATCAACAAACGATCGCAATGCGATCGAAAGAAGGGCTCGCCGATTACCGGTACTTTCCGGAACCTGATCTGCGGGAGGTGGTCCTCGCAGAGGAGTACATCGACAGAGTACGACAGACGGTTCCGGAGCTCCCTCATGAAAAGAGGAGGAGGTACGAGGCGGCGGGGCTCTCGATGAAAGATGTGCTCGTCCTCGCAAACGATGTCGATGTGGCCGAGTACTTTGAAGCGGTTTTGGCATGCGGTACTGACGTGAAGTCCGCGGCGAATTGGATAATGGGGGACGTCACCGCTTTTCTCAAGGCCAATAAGATGACGGTTCGAGATATGAAGATGCTTCCGTCATCCTTAGCTGAACTGATTTCGCTCATCGAGGACAAAACAATAAGTGGGAAGATCGGCAAAGAGATTCTGCCGGAGTTGTTAACGACGGGAACGGCACCGAGGAAGATCGTTGAGGCAAAGGGACTGCTTCAGATATCTGATCCAGCTGCATTGGAAGCCATCATTGATGAAGTCCTTGCCGCCAATCCCAAGCAGCTACAGGATTATCGTCAGGGCAAAACCAAACTTCAGGGGTTCTTCACTGGCCAGGTGATGAAGAAGTCCGGCGGTAAAGCAAATCCAGTTTTAATGAACGAGATACTTGTAAGAAAGCTTAACAGTGGCTGATGTTTAGGAGAGCTGTGGCCAGTGTTTCTTTCTTTCTTCATTAATGAATTGTTCAAAGTCATGTGTCAAATTGTATTTAATTAACTATTCTTGCATAGTCAATTGCAGTTGGGCTTTACTTGCTCCCATTTTGTTCGCTTTTTTCTTCTTCTTCTTCTTCTTCTTCTTCTTCTTCTTCTTCTTCTTCTTCTTCTGCTTCTGCTTCTGCTTCTTCTTCTTCTTCTTCTTCTTCTTCTTCTTCGTCTTCTTCTTCTTCTWCTTCTTCTTCTTCTTCTTCTTCTTCTTCGCCTTCTTCTTCTTCTCCTTCTTCTTCTTCTTCTTCTTCTTCTTCTTCTTCTTCTTCTTCTTCTTCTTCTTCTTCTTCTGCTTCTGCTTCTGCTTCTGCTTCTTCTTCTTCCGCCTCCTCCCCCTCCTTCTTTCTTGTCCTTCTTTTTCTTCTTCTTCTTCTTCCGCCTCCTCCCCCTCCTCCTCCTTTCTTCTCCTTCTTCTTCTTCTTCTTCCGCCTCCTCCCCCTCCTTTCTTCTCCTCCTCCTTTCTCTTCCTTCTTTCTTCTCCTCCTTTCTTTTCCTTCTTTCCTATCCTCCTCCCCCTCCTCTTCCTCCTCCTCCTCCTTCTTCTTCTCCTTCTTTTTGTTTTGTGCGCCCGCACACCATAACATGAGGATGATGGCGAGGTGGAAAACAGTGAAAGAGGGGACTTGGGCTGGAAAACAGTTGAGAAGAAGAGAAGCGGGAGGAGTCAAAATGGTAGAGTGGGCATTGCCATGGGGGTCTCTAATAGGACTGTCATTGTTAAGCAGCAAACAGCACATGCAGCAGTGACTGGCGAGCCAGGCAGGCAACTCGGGTCGGCAGAATATGTGAGCAGGATAAGAAGAGAGCTGAGAGGGTAGGGATGACACAGGGGGAGCGTTGTTGTGCCAGTGTAAGAGGACTGTAGTAGGAGGATGTGAAACAACAGCAGAAGCAGCAGCGAGCTGTGGCCATGGCCGCTCCCACGCTGGTAGCAGCGGCAGCAGCAGCAGGGCCAGAGGCAATGGCAGTGTTGTTTTCAGTGGTGGCAAAGATGACAGCAGCAGCAGCAGCTTCTGATCCACAGTGGCGTAATCGGCAGCAGCCGCAGCAGCAGGTAGTCCCAGGAATGACAGTAGCAGTACTTCCAATTATGGAGTATGCTGTTGCAGGAGCAAGAAATACAGGGAAGGCCATAGAGCAGTGGGGAGGCAGCAGGAGGTAGTACCAGTGGGAGCTGCGGCAGTTAGCGCTGTCGTGATATAGCGTTTGCAGCAGGCAGCTCCAGGGAACAGAAGGTGGTTATGGACAGTGGTAGTGATAGTAGAAAGTGGCATTGGCAGCGATTGGCAGGTGGTTGTGGCAGGGCGGAAAGGCACTCGCGAGCAGCGACACCGGCAACAACAGTGGAGTTGCAACAGCAGCAGGCATTCACTGTGCAGCCGTTGCCAGTGATGCGAGGAACAGCAGCAAGCGGGGAGAGGTGGGAGCAAGGGTGGGAGCACACAGCAGTGACTGCGCTACTGTACTCGCAGCAGTAGCAGCAGCAGCAGTAATGGAATGGCATACAGGGGAGAGAGGCAGTGGCAGTGGCAGTAGCAGGCAGGGACGCGCAGCGATGGCAGCAGCAGTGGCAGCAATAGTCGTGGTGATGCAGCAGTGGCAGTGGGACTATGGAACAACAGGCAGCGTGGGCTGAGCAATGCCAGAGGGACAGCAGCAGGGGCTGCAGAAGGATAAGGAAGGTGATGATGATGATGATGATGATGATGATGAGGAGGAGGAGGAGGAGGAGGAGGACGGGGAGGAGTAGGAGGAGGAAGAGCAGGAGAAGAACAAGAAGAACAAGAAGCAGAAGCAGGAGGATGAGGAGGAGAACAAGAACAAGAAACAGAAGCTGGAGGAGGAGGAGGAGAAGAAGAAGAAGAAGAAGAAGAAGAAGAAGAAGAAGAAGAAGAAGCCGGAGGAGAAGAAGAAGAAGCCGGAGGAGGAGGAGGAGGAGGAGGAGAAGAAGAAGAAGAAGAAGAAGAAGAAGAAGAAGAAGAAGCAGGAGGTGCTCCCCAGCAATACATGGAGCCTCTTCCCAGGTGTTAGTGGTGTCTGCTCTTATCAGCACCACTAACACTGATGGGGGCGAGTTTTATCAAAAAAAAAAAACAAGATTCATCTATGCTTTATA